CTTCCTTGCTCATGTTCTCTCTCCTTCTGTTCTTCATCTGGACCTTTGAAGCTCAGTCCAGTGCTCCAGTGTGGGTCTCTGTCTCTATCTCCATCCATCGCCATATGAAGGTTCTATGGTGATATGCAAGATATTCATCAATGTGGCTATGGGACAAGGCCAGTTCAGGCTCCCTCTCCTCTGCTGCCCAAGGACCTAGCTGAGGACATCCCCTTGGACACCTGGGAACCCCTCTAGAGCCAAGTCTCTTGCCAACCCTAAAATGGCTCCCTTAATTATCTTCTTCCCTGCTCTCATATCTGCCTTTCCTCTATCTTAATCATCCCACTCCCCCAAGCTCTCCCCAGGCCTCCCCTTCTCCCTTCTTTCTAGCCATCTCCCCTTTCCCTCACCCCACCAACACCCCCGTGCTCCAAACTTTTACCTGGCGATCTACGAATGGATAAAGAAGGTGTGGCACACATACACATTAGAGTTCTACTCAGTGGTAAAAAACAATGACATCTTGAGTTTTGCATGCAAATGAATGGAAATAGAAAACACTTTACTGAGTGAGATAACCTAGACCTAAAAAGATGAATATGGTATGTACTCACTCATTAGTCGATTCTAGCCATAAACAAAGGACATTGAGCCTATAGTTCGTGATCCTAGAGAAGCTTAATAGTAAGGTGAACCCAAAGAAAAACATATATTTATCCTCCTGGAAATTGGAAGTAGACAAGATCACCAGTGATCACTTTTCTATGATCTGGTTTGTTATTCAGGCTGCTCACCAACTCTCAGTAGTCTGGCATTTTCTTAGGAGACAAAATGGAATCAGCAAAGGCTGATTTTCTTTTCTTTTCTAAAGGCATAAGATCAATTCAAGTTAAGAGAGCAAATTGTTGCTAGATGCATTGCCTTGGAATTTCTGAATGTGTCAAAGGGAACTGTGGGTATAGGTCAGTTGTAGTGCACTAGTCTGGCATGTAAGAGACACTAGGTTTGGTCTGTAGCACTACACACAAAGCAAAATGACCAGATGCATCTATGATGTCTCCTTGTCATTGATACATTGAAAGTAACATTTTGGCAAGTCTGCTTGTCATTCTCTAAGATAATCCCTTTATACTAACCTGGTTTTAATTCATATACAACTAGTTCCTCCAGACAAGCTTAGTCAATTGGAAGGATCAAATGTTTGATGTGACATATATGTGTCTGTTTTCTTATATTCTGTCATGTAAAAATTCAGAAATGAAATTTTCTATTTCCAGTAATGTGCTAAACTAATACCAGAGTTTTATGCAATTTTGAGATTCATGAAAGTGAGTTGATTTGTCTTGCATTATAATGTCATAAAACTAAGTTATTAGAAATTGTCTCTTTGTAAATGTATCTCAAAATACCTCTGTATATCTTACATTTGTCTTATATGTCAGATCTACCCTGTGCTCCAATAATTGGAGCTCTTGCATGAGTCATTAAATTCAAATTCTTTTTAAAAAGGTAAATAGGATTATAATTTTATTGCTGTTTTCTGTTTCAAAATAGAATTACTTAATGATGTGCCCTTTATGTTTCTGACAATGAAATAAGACTGACTTTCTTCCTCAGTCTGGGAGCTATTTGGGGCTTCTGACTTTAGAATTTAAATCTTGCTTAAAAGGGTCTCAGATTCTCTAGTCATTGTTGGACAACCCAATGTGTAGTGTGTAAGTCAGTCTAATAGATTGCCTTTGTAATTATATAAAAAAAGAATGGTCTCCCATTTTACCTTTTAAGATTTTAATGTCATACCTGATGAACACACAGATTGCAGATAACTGGAGGACAATTCCTATAGAAGATGAGAACAAGCTATATTCTGGAATTTGACTTATATCTAAGCATGTAGTTTTATTATGTGTCATTTCTGTCTGTTTTGTGATACAGTCTATATAGCCTTGACTTGCCTGGTCCTTACTATGTATATCAAGTTGACCTATGATTCTCCAGCCTCTGCCTTCAAAGTACAGGGACTGCTACTATAACTCTCCCATGCCCTTTTATGGGATAGAATGTCTTGGTTGATCCTGAAGGCAAAGACCATTAAACTTTCAAGTTCGATGGATGCTCCTGAGCAACACACTTTTATGAGCTACTCTACTACAGCAATTAGAGACCATTTAATTCATTAGTCTAGGTCAGGAGAATCAATAAATGAGCCAGTTCTGATTTACTTGACTGTCCTTAGTTCTGGTTCTGAAGATATATTAGATACTAACCTGAAAATGTGGGCTCTTATCATCATCATGGTTTTGAAAGCTTTACTCCTTACAAATAGATATCAATTCATTAAACACATATGTGAGATACCATTGAAGCTATAAGTATTAAACATTAATGTGATAAAATGTTAAATAATATAAGAGTCACTATAGGTAGTAAATTCAAATGAATATTGTCTATTGTTTAGGAGGGAGGAAAAAGGAAAATTCAAAGGGAAGATGTTAATATTTTATTTACACATTCAATTTTTAAAGTAGATGGAACGTCTTGCAGCTTTATGCTAATGTGTAGAACTCAGATGCTTTTCTAATTAAAGGCAATGGTTTTATTCATTTTTCTTTGTTGATTAGAATAAGTGATTACAGAAAGAAAATGAGCTGTCAATCATCACAGTGATAGGTCTGAAAATAGATTCAATTATTTCTATAAGTTGTCATAATTGTAAATATTTTTAAGCAAGCAAAGATAACTTTGGCTGTTAAATTCCCATTTTGGTGACAGACAATTAAGATCAGATAAAGTAAAATAATGCACAAAATAAAAAATAAAATGTTTTTCCCAATTAGTATATTCTGAGTGGTCTGTAGGAGAAGGGAACCTTATCCTTCATTATCATTGTAGAATTTCTCAAAGTCAAAATACAAAAGGAATTGTTGTTAGTGAATATTCCCCAAATCATAAAAAATAGCATTTGTTTTTTTTTTTTGATTGTTTTGTCCTTTAAATGTGACCCACTCATATATGTATAGGAAAGACACATGTGACGTCTAGTGTTAATTGTCAGTGAACCTAGAATGCTCTAGGAGATAGGCCTATAGTTACACTTCTTGGGCACTATCTTGATTGTGTTAAACTGAGGTGAGAAAGCCCATCTATTGTGAGTGGCACCAATCCTTGGCTAGGATTGTAAACTATGTATGTAGCAAAAGGGAACAGAACAGTGACAAGCATGCATCCCTGTCACTTTCTAGGTTTAAAAGCCATGTGACCAGGCTCTTTCTTCATTTGCTTGCTGCCTTGATTTCTCTATTTTGCTAGACTATACTATGAAATCTGAGTTACAATAAACCTTTCATCCCTTAGGTTGTCAGAGTATTTTTCTCTTAGCAGTAGACAAAGAAAGTCAGACCACATTCTTTACTGTCTCTTTCTTTCTTTTGGCTTTGCAGAGCTGGTGATTGAGTTCCAGGACCTATCACTGAGCTAACTGGCTGCTAAGCTCCTAGAATTTCTTGAGTTGCAATTAGAAGTGAAACTTAAAAGCTAACATATTTGGAAGTAATTTAAATGTAGTGATGTATCTGATTCTGTAATGAACAAGTAAAGTAATTGATTTTTTTAGGAATAAGAATATTGTTTTCATGAAAAAATCACATTCTGGAGGAAATTATTGTGTTACTGTCAGAGAAATATATTGTGAATAATATAAATGTGCTACCCTAATATTTCAGGGAGAAAAATGAAGCAATAGTAGGAAGGAAAGTCAAACTTTTAATCATTATTTTGTTTTCAAGTGGGAATCAACTGATGACTTTTCTTCTGCTTGAAACAATGGCATATTTGTAAATTTTACTTAAAATATATTGTCTTTCTCTCTCTCTCTCTCTCTCTCTCTCTCTCTCTCTCTCTCTCTCTCTCTGTGTGTGTGTGTGTGTGTGTACACGGTGCACACGTGTATGTGCATAAGTGGATGTGGATTTTTGTGCATGTCCATGAGTGACTGTGTATGTGCTCATATGGAGGTCAAGGGTCAACACTGGATGTCTATCCGATCATTGTCTTCCTTTTTAATGCTTTAAGAGTTTCCTACAGCATCTCATAGTATAATGAGTATGAGTTTCCATGTCTTCCCACCACTTGGGCATACCCAGTCTTGCTAATGTTATTTTGGGGGCACGGATTCTCATAGAACCTATAGCTAACTAATCTCTTTGACTAGTTTGTCATTGAGCCCCAGGAACCTATGGTCTCTGTATTCCTGGCGCTGGTTTTATAGCTGGTCCCAGCCACACCCGTCTTTTTGCTTTGCTTCTTGAGATTCGAACTCAGGCCCTTATGTTTGCATGATTAGTGTCTTACTGGCTGATTCAATGCCCCTCCATTATTTCCTTACATTTTTCATCTGTCTTACTAGAAATACCATCTTACGTTGCAAAATTTTGAATATGAAAATGTAACTGGGCCATGGTAGGCCTTTAACCCCAGCACTTAGGAGGAGGCAGAGGCAAGTGGATCTCAGTGAGTTCAAAGACAGCCTGGTCTATAAAGTGAGTTCCAGGATAGCCAGGGAAGTTATACAGAGAAACCCTGTCTCAAAAAGTCAAAGTAAGAAAAAGGAAAAATAAAAGAAAGAAAAGCAAAAAAGAAAATGTACTTTACGAGGAGAGACCAAGATTTGTCTTTATGATCTTTAATATTAATATGAAGAATTGAGTGTGAATTTACTACTTTTTGAGTAAGATTAATGAAATTATTCTCATAGCTACCAATCATTACAGCATGGGAAACAGCTTTCATTATAAATCTTACTCTGATTTACAAATAGTACTCACTGGATTGATTCATGGTTTACAACATATCATACATTGCATAAATAGCTCTTGTTTTAAATATAAAGAATAGCTCATGTTTTGCAGTATTGTTAGATAATAAGTTCATCGGCTTGTTAATTTGTTAATTAGGTAATGTGTTTGTTTTTGCTGTGTTCACATTTTAAAGTAGATTAACTGATATCCTGACTTTTCCAGGTTTTGCACGTTTTCCTTGCTCTGGATTGGGAAGTACTAGATCATTAAGTTTTTCAGTCTTTGTGTGTGGCCTCCTTTCTGAAGAGTGATGGAGATGCTGTTACATGGAAGAGGACTGATCCTGAGTCTAATTTTCCTCCTGTTAAAGTTGTCAAGAGCTGAAATACCACTCTCAGGTAAAAGCACAGTGTCCAATTCCTGCTATGATTTTTTTTTATAATTGAACACATGTTCAATTTTAAATTGTTTTTTAATTTTCTATTTAATTTCTTAACTGTTTTTAATAGTCACCGCTATAATTTTCAGGCTTGGGTTATGATCTTTAGTTGCTCTCATAACTCTTCACCTTAGTTGTTTTGCTTTTTGTGTGGCCTTGGTCTGTTATAAAAAATACAACTGACAGAAAAGTGATGGTTTGTCCTCTGTCGGGAACGACCTGGAATATTACAAAAAGCCTTTTCTTTTCCATACTTAGTTTATATCTTATTCTAAGGAGAATTTTGATTTAGAAATTACTAACATTATCAAAGCTATAACAAAAAAGAATCAAATAAGCCTCATTTTACTTTTAAAAAACGATTTTATTTGTTTTCAATTACTTATTTGTGTGTTCAGCTGTGGGTATGTGCATGTGAGTGAGTGTGTCTTTGGAGGCCAGAGGAGGGCATCAGATCCTCCTAGAGCTGGGGAACTTGTCTGATACTGGAGCTAGGAAATGAACTTGGGTCCTTTACAAGAGCACTGCAGGCTCTTAATTGCTAAAATATTTCTCCAGCCCAGAAGCCTCATAATCTTCCCCAAAACTATTTTGATTTAAAAATGGAAATAATGATTTATGAAAATAACAAAAGGTCATATTAGAGTTCAAAATTGTATTACCTAATACTGCCTTCCAATTTAGTGTATTCTAGAGTGTGAATTGTTTTAAATCATCTGTCAGTGAGGTTATGAATATATATTTATAATATCTTGGTAATTGCATGCAAAAGGTTAGTAGTCATCATCCATCATTTTCAACAAATTATATTATTAATAGTTTGAAATTAATGCAACTGTAAGCACACTTCATGTACTGGTTTTTAAAGGATGAGATGTGGACAATCGAGGACTGTTTTTAGCTATGAAAAGGCCTTGAAATGTGGTTCAGATATGTTTATCATGTGTTTCTACCAGAGTCCCTTCTGTGCCTGCTGTATGTACTGTAGAAGGGTATGAGTCCTTTGTTTATTAGAATCTCAACATGGAAAAATAGCATTATGGATCATGCGAATTCTAAAGAAATCATCGTTTTCTCAGATAATTTAATGAATTTTTTAAGAGTACTAGTAGTAAGGTAAAATATTCTATTGAAGTACTTAGACTCAGTGTGACTAGAGAGCAAGAAAACCTTTTGGGATGTGTTGTAAAATCTCCTCTGATGGTCACTCTGAATTGCTTTAAAGAAGCTGTTTGTTATACATCACACAATGTACTGGTAGTCCAATGCTGTCTTGATTCCTCAGGCGAGAATCTACTCTCTCCTATTCTTAACAGGTGCTTAAGCCTGTGTTTCTGTATTCTCAACTATTAAGGAAGTTTAATTCCCTGTTCTGCATGTATGTTTATATACATGTGTACATTTCTTCTAATAAGCTAAAATTTTGCAGCTTGTACAAGTTCATCAAAATTCATCAGGGACCAACTGAGAATTTAAACACCATCATAATTAGTAAATTCTCTCATTAAAAGAAATTTTGTGGGTTTTCTGTTTTATTTTGTTGCTGTTGATTTTGTTTTGACCTGCAGGTGCATGTCAGGTGTCAAAACGGGTCTGAAGATGACAATGAATATCCTGGGGCTAGAATTAGATGATGCTACAACACCTTATGTGTTCTTTGTACCAAACCTAGGTCCCTTGGACAGGTAGCAAGTGTTCTTACTGCTGAGCCATCTCTCCAGCCTCATTAAATTTTCACAGTTAAAAACAGCAAGGGTGCATGTGGTATTCCAGATTCAAATGTCTGACCTTATTCTCTAACAAACATATACATGCTCCCTGTTTTTCACTTGTTCTTCCGTGATGAAGAATGCAGAATTTTGTATTAGCTCACGTCACTTGTTATTAGTCTGACAGTCTCTGTTACTTATCGTTCATGCTGTAATGTCCTCAGACAATTGTTATAAAATATTAATAGCATGTTTTCAGAGCAACTGAATATTGCCCATTTATTTTGGCACTCTAGAGTACTCACTAGCAAATGCAACCAAGGCAGGTATCCAATTTGAATGTCAACGAGTCTGGTGTCTCTGTAATTGGTCTAATTATAGAGGAAAGGATTTGTAATGCGGAATATATATTCATACAAACACCCAAAGGTTATTAGCTCCATTCCCTGAATAATTAGTTATTGCAAAGCCTTTACAACGTTAGCAAATTTAAGAAAGAATAATGTTGTAATAAACAAGTTGTTCTCAAGTTCTTAGCTGGTATCTTTGGGACTGCTGCTGTGCCTTTCTCTACCATTGGTAATTGCAATGAAATTTACACAGGATGAACTTACAAGGAACTCAATACCCACTCTGCCTTAAGGGCATTAATCAGAAATGAGACAACTGTCAATGTGGAAGCGTTTAGCAAATACTAAAGTGGTGATCAGTATCCACTGGATGAAGCCTGAATTTGAGCTGGCAACAGTGCAATTTACCATTTTTGTTAGGCGAAAAGAAAATAACTGCAATCTTAAAATTGGGAAGAGCTTTCGGTTATTAAGTCTAAACTGGCTGTTGATGCTTAAATGATGGTTTGTGGACACTTCAGGATCTCAGAGATACATTTAGATTACCTGTGAGATCCAAGTGTTTGGAAAATAATATCCCAGTGCCAGTTCCTACCCCCTTTCACTTTCATTGTCATCTGTACTGATTCTTTGAAATCTATAGTAGAAAAATTTCTCTTTCCCTATCACCAATAATGGCATGAGTTCTGAGCTGTCCAACATGCAAGGTGTATCTCACGGTCATACACTCATATTCATATACCCCTAAACCAGCACAATTTTTCTTAAGTTTAAAATTGTTAAATCCATAAAACAATATTAACTTTGTTAACTCTCTACCTCTAAAGAATACTGTGACACACTGTAAAATGGATATAAAATAATTCTGCTACATTAAAGTGAAAGGATTTCCTTGTTTTTTTCAATTATATCATTGCTTCAATACACACTATTTTTACTTGAAAGTATGAATGACAGACTAATTATGGTTGGTCAGATGTTTGCAGGCAGATATTTTTCCCTCAGAGGAAGGAAATCATACTGACACTTTAAGATAAACTGGTAATATAAGTATGATAATTGTCAATGACCAAATCTGAATGTTCAAGTAAAAATTAGACTTGTAGAAGCCTGAGGCCAAAAGCTTCCTAACATCAGTGACTTTACTGATTAGATCAGTGGCAATGCTGAGTAGAGTGACATTATTTGATTGCCTGTTAGAAAAAATTCAAATATTTGTCAGATCTCCATCACTCAGAAAACCCGTATTTTTTTTTAAGACTACTGTGTGCTGGTCTAAAAATCATACATTGGTCAAAAAGTCACTAAAATTGTACAATATAATAGAATAAGAAGAAGCATATTGGTTAAGGTTTAGATTCACATTATAATAGTTGTTTAAGAATAAAATAATAATCAAAATCATCTGACTGGAATTTATAACTTCCCATTCCTTTTATTTGCATGTTCATAGGAAGGTTGAATTTGTACATTTTTAATCACATCGGCCTATTGCAACATAAAGAGTGCAGAAGTAAACATGAGAGTCCTGCTATCTCTTTAGAAATGACAGAAGTGCGTCCTGTAAAATAATAAAGTCCTTCTCCTGGTGTCTAGTGATTTACATATGACATTATTTATTGTAACTTATGGGATTTATTTTAAAAATTATGTAAACACATGCAGTTTTAACTTTCTATGCAGTTAAAATTGTTACTCATACTCTGGTTAAACAGGGACCATTGGGGTACCTTGTAATTTTAAAGAGGGTGAAAAAGTAAAGGCCTGGCCCAGTGTCCTGGGGTTGAAGGTCCTACCTGTACCTTTCCTTTTGATTACCCAGTAATCAGTTGCTTGTCTGCAAATTACCTTTCTCAAAAACACACATGCCAAAGTCAGTTTTTGCTACCTATTGCTTTGTGATTCCTTATGAAGTACTAATATAAATTAACAGCTGTCAGAATTAAACTAAAGAATGTCTCAATTTGAAAATGACTAAGTGCTTACTTAGCGTATAGCATTATGTACATAATTATCTCTGTTTTATTTAAAAACTTAATCCAAGTGCTTGTCTTCAGCATCCATGAATTTTGTGTACTCTTATTTTAAATTGATTTTAGAATGGGGACTGACAATTCAAGTGAGGAAGAGAAATAAAGATAAATTCATGAATGGGTAATGTCAAATCCCAAGGAAGATTGTAGAAAAGTATTTATCAACAAAAATAATAAATAAAAATCAAAGAAAGAAGAAAATCCTTTTGCAATAAGTATGGACTTCTGGCAGATCTTAATTAGCTATTAATCAAATATTTCAGACTATCAGTACCACACTAATCACACATTGCTTGTAAAATGATTTTGGCATTTATTCCAAGAGTCAGTTCCATTATATCTATATCTGAAAATTTATCATATATTGATACTTCAATAATGGAAAACCCTATAATGCCCTATATATCTATTGAAATACATATTAACTGGAAAGAGAGATGGAAGATAAACATGCCCTATACTAGAAGAAATATCAAAAAACACACAGGATAACAATAGGGTAAAAGATGCTAAATTAGTTCATTATAATATCTATATAGAAGCAGTAATATATAGAAGCAGTGAACATTACAGAAAAACTTTCCAAATGATAGCAATTTACAAAAATCAGTGCACATATCTACATAAATGGGATGCCAATAATTTTAAAAATAGATATTAAAGTTATAACATGATATTTTTATTGTATTTTAAAAATTGTCCCATATTTCTGGTATTAATTGAAAGTTATATATGATGCAATATAAAATGATGGCAGGGGAATATTTTTCTTAGACATAAATATATGTTAAAAAGAAGTAAAATTCTTGGGATAGCCTTTGGCTTATTACTGTGGTAGAGTATTTGTGGAATAAATAAAAAAAAAACAGCTATGAGAGGACAGATTTGTTCTGGTTCATGGTTTGACGGGATGGACTCCATTGTGTCAGGGAATGTGGTGAGAGGCAGAGGTAGCTGGTCAGTTTACACTCATAGTCAAGAAGAAAAGAGGGGTGAATGGTGTTCAGGTGGTTACCCCATTTTCTAATATCTGTATCTCCAGCCCATTGCTGTTCACATTTCATAATCAGGATGGTTCTCCCCTTCTTTAAACCTTTTTGGAAACACCCAGATAGATGCACTCCATCACGTTTCTTGAGCAGTTCTAAATACAGCCAAGTTGACACTGAAGATTATCCACCACACTGATGATGTAGAAGGCACATGTTGTTCTGTTACTTAATCCTGTTTTCTAAAACCTCATTCTTCAAGTATATTGTTTTGATATTCAGTTCAACAGGTACCAACAATCATAAAGCAGTCATATGTGCAAGTTGCCTTTCCCTTTGATGAGTATTTTCAAATTGAATGTGAAGCTAAAGGAAACCCAGAACCAAAGTAAGTCTATTAGAAAATAATATAATAAAATGTTATATAAATAAAACAATATAATAAAATTAAAATAAAATGCTTTCATGTATCTATGGTGTCATGGATCACATATATATGTGTAAACATTTTATTTTAATATATTATTTTATTTATATAATATGTCATATATATATATATAAGTGAAAGTATTTTATTTTATGTTGGTTTAACGTGACTATCAAAGTTAGAATACAAATCTACATATGGTTGAAACACCAGATTTCTAAGTAAATGGTAGTTAAGTCAACTGTTGTGTTATATTTTGATTGTATTTGACAATAAAGTTCGTTTTTGAATCAGAGGGCAGAGCTAGCTACTAGCCTATTAACCACTGACGTTTTGGAGGACTGAAGAAGTAGTAAGGCGGGGCTTAGAGATATCTTATTCCTTTTGGATGGAAGAATGGAGAGATAGGAAAGAAGTCACTAATGACTGCTCTGTGGCTTCACTGATCTCTCAGGTTCTTACCCTGATATCTGACTCCTTATTTTCTTATCATTATGACTAATTAGGTAAATGCACCAGTTATAAATTCAAATATGTTTATGTATGTCTCACAGGCATGCTTACTTATTATTCATGCAACTATTCATGTGTGATTAGAACGTAACTGTGTATTTTTCTCAAAATCTATTCTGGAATATTTTTCTAAAACTATAATGATTTTCCCCTACAAATCTACTGTCATTATTTATAAAGAATTTCCCTATAGAAATAACAAGAAATAAATATATCAAAGGATACATCTATAGAGTTTCTTTCCACTGTAGTACTTATAACAGGAAAAGCATTGAAATGTGTTAAAAATTAAAAAATAACCTGTGACAAAATACGATATATCATCATAAAATTACTTTTAATATTATTTTAAAACTGACAGTTTTTAACTGGAAAAATTATATATTTAAGACCAATTCAAATGTGTCACACACTTACAAATGCCAGATAAAGGGGATTAATGGAATTTGTATGTGAGTTTGTTTGTTTCTTCACATAAACATATATTCAGAGAAGCACATTCTATACTTGTCTTTCCTTCATGTGCTATAATAAATATAGCAGTGATCCAGAATTATATGTGGATATATATATATATATATATATATATATATAAATGTATATAATGAGAAATATTTTTAAATGCCTTCAATTTAAAAGAGAATAAAACTGCCTTCAGTCTCCTTTCTTGCTTTTCACTGTATTTTCCTTACTTATAAGATTTACTGGATATGTCTTTATATACTGTTAAAATTTATTATATATATTTAAAACTCATAAATTCTCTTGGTTTTATTATTTGTACATTTGTTTATTAAAACTTTTTAGAAATAAGAAATGTCATCAGTACTTAGGGTAAATTTTCTTTATCTTTAGATTTTCATGGACTAAGGATGACAAGCATTTTGATCTTTCTGACCCTCGGATAATTGTATCTAACAATTCAGGCACATTCAAGATCCCAAATGAGGGACACATCTCTCATTTTCAAGGGAAATACCGCTGTTTTGCATCTAATAGACTAGGAACTGCAGTATCAGAAGAAATAGAATTCATAGTTCCAGGTAAGTGCTCATGTAGAGATTTCATTGACTAGTCTAGTAAAATATTAATGGACGTCATACAGAAATAAATCAGTATATATCCAACCAGCATATTTTTACTAGAAAAATTATCTTCACAGTCAGATATTGTCAGAATTGTGCTGCATTTCAGTAACTTTCTATCTAACCCGGAATAGAAGGAGTTATTTTCCATATATGATGATGATTAAATCTATTATTAGCTAATATATGTTTGCTCAGTATTCAGCATCAGACAATCTCAAAGTTTCTACATCAACACAAAGACAATCTGATAACAGTTTAGTGCAGTTATGCCAGGATTCAGGACCCATATTCTTCATGCAGTTTTCTTGAGAATCTAGGATGATATATCTATTAAAACATGCAACCTCACATCCTCAATCAAAGAGTCTAAGACCAAAGCACAAATAGATGTTTATAGATCTTTAAATGCTTCTAGAGTGTCTAAGCAATTTTTTCATCTACTGGCAGATGAAGAAAAGCTAGCTGCATAATCCCAGTTAAACAAAATCCTTTCCCAGTAATAGAGTAGAACCAGCCACTGGCAGTGTATACAATAAGTAGAAATCATGGCAAACAGTAAACCCTTCCCAATTAAGACTGTGATTGCCCCAAATTATCACCAGTTTCTGGTGTCTGATTCATTGACATAACCCGCCTATGTGCATGAAATGCCTGCTTCCCCCACCCCACCAATCTATGGTTTCTAACTTTACACAGCTCTAACCAAAATTTTAAATGGTTTATGGAGTAAATTCTTACATGTAAAAATATCAGTTAGCCTCTTTGACATTTTTTTTTGTTGTAAAATCTTATAAACATAAAGAACTCAGGAATGTTGTACACCTTTTAGAATGTGGAGCCTTGCTAAAACAAACTATACACCAATGTTAAAGTAGCAAATAATGATGAATTATTATCTTGAAAGCCTAGCAAGAGTGCTGTATATAAATTGTTGTTAACAACTTATAAAATTCTAAAGTACTACGTACTGAGCAAATTTAGACCCTTATAGTAAACACATTCAAATTTATAATGAGACTGAAAATGCAAATCAAATGAATTATTATCAGACCATGTGGTATGAAGAAAAAGTGAGAAAGAAAAGATATGGAAAAGAAGTAAAATAAGACAGGAAAAATGCAAAAAGGTAATCTAAAAATACTTCACAAATTGAAGATAGAGTAAATTAAGTGAGTAGCTATGCAGAATAAAATATCTAGACCATAAGGATTCCAAATTTTAAAACAACAAAAATGGAAGAATCATCATAGTTAAGATATTCAAATTAGCATAGATTAATGATAGTCAAAACTCACCTTACTTTCAAAAGTCTTTCTAGAAATTAAGTACCTAAGCATATATGGTATTAAAACAAGGGAGGCAATAATAATAGGCCTACAAAAAGAGACAGATAAATATGTCATAATAACATCATTGGGTGGTAATTCAAGCAGAAAAGAGCATTACTAACGACATACAAGATTTAAGTTATCTGAGTATAAGCCAGAACTAATAAATGTGTATGAAGCATCATACCTATAGTGTGGAATGAATAATTTCATGAGTTTGGGAAAATTGGTACAATTGGTGATCTGTTGAGCTGTAAAAAGAATATCATCATAATATAATTGAACTAGAAATCAATGACAAAGCTCAATAAATGTCTTCTATTTTGAAAAGTAATACATTCCTAACTTACAGGTCAAATAAGTAATGTTAGGGAAAACAGAGAAAATCATGGTTTGAAAAAGTCTACGTGAAAAGATATATTGCTACCGTGAAAACATTCTTTAGAGGAGTAGTCAATGTCTTTCAAACTTATATTAGAAGGAACAATAATGGACATTAATTATAGAGACTTATTATGTAACATAGCTTTAGAATGAAAATTAATGAGCTAACTTAAGGTAATAGAAGGTTGTAGTGTGTGTGTGTGTGTGTGTGTGTGTGTGTGTGTGTGTGTGTGAAACTAATTCCAATGGTGTACAACATTTACTGGGAGACACATACATCTTCAGTAAAGAGGAAAATGAGATCTGAAGAGACAACTCAGTAAAGTGCTTTCCATGTAAGCATGAGAACCTCTGAGCCCAGAATGTTGCTCCTTGTATTCTGTATATTTTTCATTGATCTGGTCACATTCCACAAACATATGGCAAATAAACAATAATTCTGAGTAAAATTACTCTGTGTCTGCCATCCATCACAGTGACTTGTGCCTATAATGTCCAGTGCTATAGCAAGGACGGAACAACAGACAATAGGCCTGGAGCTCATGGGCTAGCCAGTCTAGTTCAGGGAGAGAGCCTGTCTCAAAATGGATGGTGGAGTTATATCAGGAAAGACACTGAATTATCTTTGGTACACACACACACACACACACACACACACACACACACACAGTACAAACATAAAAATTGTTACATGATATAGATAAAGAGAGTCTAAATAAACGATTTTTGTGGATCAGAAGACTCAACAGAGTTAAAGTGCCCATCTATCTTTAATTGACCCAGAGGAATTTTACTCAGAATTCTTGTTTATTTGCCTGTATGCTTATGAAATCTGGCCAGATGAATGAAAGATATCCAGAATACACGGAAAATTGGAAAATTCTTAAGGTTTAAATGTAGTAAAGACTTTGCTTATCATGTATCAGGCCCCAGAATAATCATAAACGATTAGGCTGGTGTGGTTTTGTGTGGGATTTAAAAAGCTGAATTGACCATATAACAGTTTGATAAACCCATAGACAAACCCCACTTACTAGATGAAAGGAGAAGTTGAATTTCTCCCTCAATCTTTCCCTCACTTTTCTATCACTCCTCATTCTCCTGTCCTTCTTTCTCATTCCTTTTCGTCTCTCCCTTCTTCCTTTTTTCCATCCCTTCATCTTTTCTTCCCTTCCCCCATCTTTCCCTCTCTCCCTTCTTACATCCCTCCTTTCTCCCTCCCTCCATCTTTACCTCTCCTTCCTTCCTTCTCCTTCCCTTTTTTTCTCCCTTCCATACTCCAGCATTACCTGGTGCATTACACTTTCTAATGGACGTACAGGGCCCTACACTTGCCATTTTATCTCATTGTGCATCCCTACATTGACAATGTATCTCATGCATATTAACTCATTATAAGTGTTCTGGGTGTGTTTATGGATAATCCACTATCAGGAAAAGCATCTTAATATATTTTTAAAAAATGATAAACAAACTTTAGAAGTTTGGAGATGACATATATTTATTATTTTAGTGAAGATCTTGTAACAGTCTACCCAGAGATCAATAGCTTTCATTCAGTCTTGGATAATTGAAACTAGGATTTCAAAGTTCCTGAATTTTTAAACAGAAAATGAAATTACCTGGTTTTGTGAAGGTAAGAATACATTGTTCTGGTCTTGACTCAAATCTCTGTCTCCAGCTTCATTCCTTTGATAAATTAATTGATTAGGGTTTCCACCTTCCCTCCTTTTCTTTTATTCATTTCTTTTCATCAATTTTAGCTTCAGCTCAGAGTTCTGTATTATTGTTAAGCACAGTAAATTTGCAAATAGAAAAGAGACAGCAGTGTAACAGCCAAAGGGAAGGGCCACAAGTGACTCTCTTTAGTGTCATCTCTCCTGTTAGAGTTTCGTCTTAAGATATAAGTACAATGAAGGCATATATCAACCCTTTATCTTAGCATACTGTGTCCCAACCTCCAAAAAGATGAATTCACCTAGGTTACCCCACTTTCCTTGCCCAGGTATCTGTGATTTCCCCCACATAACAGGAATTTGGAGGGTACCAGCATTTGTGTTTGATCTATAAATATATTTATTTGTACGTACGTACCATGCACCGACAGAGAGAATCTAACTTCATTTGTAGTGGAATGTAATGTTGCAACAATTTGGGTCTCACATCAAAGGGAAAGCTTATTCTAGAATCAATTCTGATTAACGACAGCCTGACTACACAGATTCAGGATGCCCCAAATTCCACATTATAGTCTGGCAAAAGTTACTAACATATTTATAGTAATGGAACAAAGAAAGTCATAACTGAAGGAATTTTAAGGATATGTTGGTGGGCACATCAGGCAGGAAGGTTACAGTGCAGTGTGGAAATCTCTGCTATACGCATCAGATGTTGTCTGATGTCACTCATCAGCATTGGTCTGAAGAGTGCTGAGATCTTTTTGCATGTCACATAAGAATATTTATAATAATCACAAGAGGGTTAGGGGTAACAGAGGTGATCAGGATACTAAGGAGGCTAAAGATTATTTAGCTCTGGACTTGCAATATTCCCTTTCTCCAAAGTCACTGAAGTTCTCTCAGTTAGCCTCACAGAATGTTCAGCATAAGTTTAATTTTTTTTGAGGGGGGATTCAGTCATATATATATATTCATATAAGCTTGCAGAAAACATTTCTCAGCAATATAGAGGATTAAGAACACTTGAAATTATAAAAACAAATCTCATGGAAATGTTTCTAGTATAGTTTTACTTCAGTTTGAAGTTTGTAAATACACATGAAATATTGATTAAGAATAAAATTTTGCTTAGGAAATTATTATAACAAGAGACTACTGAACATAATATTGAAGATGCTAATTACCACCAATGGAGGTGGGAGGAGCTGGGGTCAGGACCAGGTGGAAGACAATAATGCTCTTGGTGGAGTACACAGTGTATAAAAAGGTTTCAATCATGTATTGCTTTTTGTATAACCTGAATTTATTTATGCTTTATGCATGTATTCATAAAGGAACCTGCATGTGACATGGTAGTGCTGCTGAAGTGACTGTCCTGGGGTAGGATGATTCAGCAAATGTAATGAACAGATCAATGACATGGAGATTTTGAAACTTCATTTAGGAGTTAATTTGAATTGACATTTAGTTAAAAAATGTTTGTAAATTTTGGATCACAATGTATTGCCATGAACATTGTGGCTGAAAGTCTAGAAATTATTATATAGTCAGCACTCTCTAATCT